CAGAAGTTTCTGTCCCACAAGCTGCTAGCAAATAATCACACAGAAGCTTAATATCAACTATAAATGCTTGCCCGATGGCTCAGGCTTGTTACTAGCCAACTCTTAAAACTTAAGTTAACCCATTTATATTAATTGACATTTTGCCATGTGGCATTACCTCTCTTTCATCTTGCATCTCTTGTTTTCTCTCCATGTTTGGCTGGTGACTCCTTTGACTCTGCCCTTCTTCCTCCTAGTGTCCTTAGTCTGGTTCTCCTGCCTACCCTTATCTTGCCCAGCTCTTGGCCAGTCAGCTTCTTTATTAACCCAATCACAGTGATATATTCACACAGTATAAAAGAATATTCCACAAACAGCCCTTTCACAAAGCTCTCTTCAATAAGCCACTTGCATGAGCCATTCCTTTCTTCCAAGTCTTCCAACTAGTACTGCACTTAGAGCCATTCTTCTTCACTTAAGGTGGGGAGACTCTCCTTTCTCACCTCACCAGGCCACATGCTCCTGCATCAAGAACTGCAGGTCAATATCTACATTGAAATTTCATTTCACCCCAGACAGAATAACTTTTATTTAAAAAAAAAAAAAAAAAAAACATGGCTTACACTTCAGTAAAAATGCAGGATAAAAAAAAAATTCCACAACAAAATATCAGTATCTTGTATCTTTCATATACATACAAACAATGAATTTGTAGAGAAAGAAATTAGGAAAAAATATCCCATTCATAGTAGCTCCAAAAGTATGTAGGAATAAACTTAACTAAGGTAGTAAAAGACCTCTGCAATGAAAACTTCAAGATACTGAAAAAGGAAGTCAAATAAGACCCGATACTATGTAAAGACCCTTTGTACTCCTGGACTTTAGCATTAATATTGTGACAGTGGCTATATTACCGAAAGTGAGCTATAAATTTAATATAATTCCTATCAAAAAATTCCGGCCAGGCAGTGGTGGCGCACACCTTTAATCCCAGCACTTGGTAGGCAGAGGCAGGCGGATCTCTATGAGTTCAAGGCCAGCCTGGCCTACCAAGTGAGTTCCAGGAAAGGCGCAAAGCTACACAGAGAAACCCTGTCTCGAAAAACCAAAAAATAAAATAAAATAAAATAAAATAAAAAAAAATTTTCCAATGTTATTCTTTACAGAACTGGAAAAAACAATCCAAGAATTCATATGGAGCCATTAAAGCAATGCTAAAGAGAAAGAACACAGCTGGAGGTATCATAGTACTGGACCTCAATTTACACTACAGAGCTACAATGACAGACAGTACCATACGGACATTAAAATAGACAACTAGATCAATGGAACAGAACATAGGACCTGGAAATAAACCTATAAAAATATAGCCCCCAATTTTTCTTTTCTTTTTCTTTTTTTTCCAAAGGTGAATTTTTTAAAAGAAAAAAAGATTAGTCTATTTAATAAGTGATGTTGATAAAAAAAACAAACAACAATATGTACCCAGAGAAGGGTGAAATTCAATCCATATTTTCACCTGGAAGAAAAGTGGATCAAAGACCTTAATTTAAAACTCCAAACACTGAAACTTGATGGAGGAGACATGAGGAATGCACTTCTAGCTAGAGGTTGAGGAAAGAACTTCTGAAAAGATGTCCAACAGCACAAGAAATATGTCCAATAATCAACCAATGGGATCACATGAGACAAATGTTTCTGTACAGCAAAGGTAACAATTCGTGGTGCGAGCAGCCTACAAAATAGAAGAAAATCTGTCCTAGTTACCAGTTATACTAAGGAAGGGGTTAACATCTAGAATTTACAAAGAACTGCTCAAACTAAACACCATGAAACACAGCTGATGACTAAAAAATAGACAAAATAAAATAAATAGACAGTTCTCAAGAGAAAATACATGGCCAAGTATTTTAAAAAGCATTTGACATCCTTGTTAGCAGAGTAAATGCAAATTAAGGCTACTTTAACATATCTACCCAGAATGGTATCATTAAGAAATCTGACAACAAATGCTTGTGATAGATGTGGGGAAAGTGAAACCATTATTCACTGCTGGTGGGAGTGTAAAATAGTACAGCTATTATGGAAATTAGTATGGAGGTTTCTTAAAATACTAAAAGGAACCCCATATTCTACCACAGAGATACTTGCATATCCATGTGAGTTGCTTCTGTGCCCATGAGAGCCAAGGAATGGAATCATTCTTTATCTTCATCAACAGATGAACAGGTGATGAAAATGTGGTATCTATACACATGATAGAATTTTATGAAGCTATAAAGAAAAATGAAACGATGTCATTTTCAGGAAAATGGGTGGATCTGGAAAGTAGACTATTAAGTGAGCTGATTCAGACTCAGGAAGAATAAAACCACATGTTCTCACTCATATGTGAACCTCAGCCTATAATGTATACATGTGTATTTATAAGTAAAGCCTGAAGAACTAGAAAGAAGTCCAAGGAAGGATAAACATAGGTGCTGAAGAAGGACGAGGGGTGGGTAAAAGGACACGTGACATGAAATAGATGAAATAGGACAGAGACTTGGGGCAGTGGTTGCATGGGATATGAGAGGAGAGATGTGGGGAGAGAATCTACTAAAGGGTCTTTGAGAATTCCACAATGATAGATACTACCTTGTATGCTAGTTACAAAATATGAAATGCTGAGAGAAAAGCTGAATTGGGGAGATGGCTCAGTTGACAAAGTGTTTGCTGTGTGGGCATGAGGACCAGAGTTCAGATCCCCAGCATGCATAGAGCTGGGGGTTATGATGCACAGCTGTAGTCCCAACACTGAGAAGGTAGCCCAGGGAATATTCCTACTGGCCAATAAGCTGAATTGTTGAGCTTTCGATTCAGTAAGAGACCTTGTCTCAAAAAAATATAGGGTAGAGAGTGAGTGCAGAAGATACTGACATCAACTTCTATCTCTGCACTTACACGTGCACCCATACACACATATGAAGACACATATGTACATGCACACACTCAAGCATGCACGCACCCCCCCCCACACACCCCATACACTCTAACAGCATAAAGAACAACAAACAATAACAAATGCTGATGCAGATGTTGAAGAAAGGCAATATAAACTAGTACAGTCGTAAGGGAATTAGTAAGGACTTTTCTCAAAAATACTCAAATCAGCTAAAAATCGAACTACCATATGATCCAGCTATACCATTCCTGGGAATACATCTGAACGGATCTGTGTCACAGAGACACCTACACATCCGTGTGTTTAGAAGCAATGTTCATAATAGTCAAGTTACACAACTAGCCTAGGTATCCATCAACAGATGGGTGGAGAACGAAACATATATACACAAGAGAGTCTTATTCACATGTAAAGAAGAATAGAATGGTGTCATTTGTAGTTAAATAAAGTGGATATCATCATATTAAATGAAATAAACCAGACACAGACAGACAAATATGTTTTCTCTTGTATGTAAAATGAGTGTGTGTGTGTGTGTGTGTGTGTGTATGTGCGTGTATATGTAAAATAGAGGGATTATTTGGCAAGATGAAGAAAATTAGTTGGAAGGAGGTAGGAGAAGGTAATAGAGTTAATATGGTCAAAGAGTATGATATACTTTTATTAAAATGTCATAAATTCATCACTTTGCACAATAAATATATACTTTTAAAAAAGATGCTGGGCATGCTGGTACACACCACTAGTGCCAGCACTCAGGAGACAGGGGCAGGCAGATCTCTAGGAGTTTGAGGACAACCTGATCTACATAGTGAGTTCCAGACCAGTCAGGGCTCTCTAAAACAAAACAAAACAAACAAACAAAACAAAACAAATAAGCACCTCTTCCTACTGAGTCAGCTAGCTTATCCTGGGGCTGGAGGGGGTGGTTCCCTGGCTAAGAGCACTCTCTGTCATTTTAGATAATCAAACCTAGGCTTGATTCCCAACACATGGTGGCTCAAGACCATCTGTAACTCCAATTCCAGGTGAATTGGACCCCCTCTTCTGGCCTCTTTGGTTACCAGGCATGCACACAGTACAGTCATACACAGAGGGAAAGAACACCCATACATAAAATAAAAAATAGATACTTAAGAAGAGAAAAGGAAGGATGCTTACCTGTAGTTGAGCATGCATGAGCTAAAGGACAGACATCAAGACAGATTCTTTGCTTGGGGCTCTGGTCAGTTCCATAATAGCTATTGTAAGAGCCAATGGACATTCCCTTTTCTGTTAGGTTAGGAAATATCAGCTTCTATCTGGCCCATGTGCCAATCAGGCTCACTGTTCTGTCTACCAGCACTGTAGCCAACAAAGCCTACTTAGACGTCTTCTAGGGTCCTAAAGACAACAGTCCATCAATGGGCTGTGTTTTGCTAATTTGCTCACCCAGGTAATCCTTACCATACACTTGTTCTGTGTTGGATGCTCCTATGATCTGAAAATTCGAAACTGAAAAAGACAAAGTCTGTAGCTTCATGAGTCACAGTCTTATTGAGCAAGTCATAGTCTTATTGAAAAGGAGCTGTGTTTGCTCTCCTCACTACAACCTTGTGAGTACTGTGGTCATAGCTCGAAGAACAATTATTACACAAATAAGAAGATTATAAAAGCTATACAAAATAGGCAAATTGCAGTTAGACAGCATGTAGCTGTCTCAGTGTGGCTTAATCTCTTAAGTGTGTGAACCACTAGCCATTTCTTCCCAAGCCATCCAGTACAAGGCTGTGAGCACTCAGCCAAATTTTATTGTCCTTGTCTCATGTCAAGTCTCTAAACCGACCAGAAAACCAGTGTGATGGTACAGCTCCAGAATCTATCCCGGGACTCCTTGGAAACTACTTCTCTTGCCTCCATGCCCTGTTGGGGAGAGTCTATAGACATGACTGGACTATCTCAGAGATGCCCCAGCTAACTCCCATTCAACAGGGCTGCTTTCTTTCAAGGCTCCCTCCATCAAAGGATTCACTTCATCCTTTCCTCTGGCCCATGTCTCTTTCTTTACTGATCTGAGCTTTCTCTCTCTGCTTCCTAGATTCATGGTGCCATGCCCGTCGATCAACCCCGGCCCACCAGCCTGAGGGGATCTTGTTGACAGACAGTTACTGTGTCAACAGACTCATTTTGTGAAATGGAAATTGGAAGAAGCCTAAAATAACAGAGCAGAGGATGGAAACCCAAGCTGCTTTTGCCACATGCAGCCCATGCCTGGTAGGTCTCTGCTAAGGCATTTCCTCTTTTTAAAACCGTTCCAGCCAAGGTCAAAAAAAAAAAAAAAAAAAAAAAAAAAAAAAAAAAAAAAAAAAAAAAAGCATGCTGCCACTCTCTCCCAGTGGTACCTTCTCACTGTTGGATGGCTGATGTGTGGTCAGCATCTTTGGCTCTTTGTAGTTTGGGTTTGAAAACTCTGACATGGAATGAAAAGGCTCAAGGCGGGAAAACGTTGCTCGCAGCAGGGCTGAAAATCAAAGGAATGCTTCATGCTGTGAAAAGGGCTTCTTATTCCCTAGCTTGAGACTGAGTACTCAGGCCGTGGAAAAGGTAATCTGGAAAAAGTGAGGTGTGGGGCGGATGGGGCTTTGCACATTGCCGTGGAAGACCCATACTTTCTTTTCTGGGTTAATTGTATGTGGGTGGCATGTGATTATAAGTGCCCATAAATTGTCTACCCTGATATTGAGTTCAGCCATATGTGTTAGTGTGAGCTGAGCTGAAGCCAGTAGAATGGGCCAGAATATACTAGAACTGTGGCCAAACCGAGGATAGGCCCCGACAAATCAGAAAAATCAGCAAGAGGCCTATGAACCCAACGACTAGAGTAATAGATTTCTTGTCCCGAGTCTCTGCACCATGGGGGCTTTTCCCTTTGGGATGGAAAAGGTGCTAATGGAGCAAGTGACCTCCTTGTACAGTGGGCAAGGCAGTGTTTGCTCACTGAGACATCCATCTGTTCCTAGGGCCTCTGCTGTGAATTGCTGTCAAGGGTCCGGCATCTCAAGTCTGGTTCCCTGTGGGTTAAGCTCCCTCCGACGGCTGGAGAGCCACTCACTCTGGCAGCTCTCAGAGGGCTTGTCTTTCTTTGTTCCGCTTTAATGAGGAGGAAGAGGCTTTAGAAGAGAAGGGCTGAGCATTTCAGACAGGCCACTAGTGCTGCGGCGATTGCACGGTAGATCCAAAGCAGATAGTCACTGAAGGGATGGTTGTGGGATAGAGAGGCGGATGTGACAACGGGCAACGTCAGAGTCTAAAGGTCTCAACAGGGTTAAGGAAGCGGCTGATGTTTGTAGAGGATCCCAAAAACATCGTAGTCAAGTGCTTGCTTGGGTGCTAATGGCATGGGGGAGGAGAATGGTAAACAAGCGCTCTGTGCTCTGTGCTCTGTGTGGAGCTTTATGGGAACCAGACAGAAGGCAACGGTGAAGTGAGCTGTGTCTTCTGTGCTCATACACAGCACTTTGCATATTATATAGCTGAGCAACCCTATATGAGGTGTAGCTGCCGTCATTGTCTCCCCTCCTGTTCATTGTCTGTTTGCTCTGCCAGTAGCTTCTTTTGATGTGCAGACCCCTTAGACTATGTGATTCCACGTGTCAGTTCTTGGGGCCGTGTTCTGTACGGTTGGGGTTCTATTCAGAACACACATGCTAAAGTATCGATCCTGAACTGTTTTACCCTAACATTTTCATATTTAAAGGAGTTTTTCTCTCGCTGTGTGTAGGGGATTGAACCAGGCCTAGTCCTAATACATGCTAGGCAAGTCCTCTACCTCTGAGCTGTACCCTTAGTCATAAATCAAGGCCCCTGATCTACTTTAAATTGGTGTGTGTGTGTGTGTGTGTGTGTGTGTGTGTGTGTGTGTATGTGTGTCTATGTGCGCGTGCGTGTGCAATGTGTAGGAATCCTCATTCACTAGTGAATGTATACTAGTACTACCAATATGGATATCAGTGCGGAGTTTTTCCAAAAATTAAGAATATACCTACCATATGACCCAGCTCTACCATTCCTGGGCATACAACCAATGTGCTCTATATTTTTCCACTATTTTTTCCTCTATATTTGCACATCCATGGTTATTGCTGCTTTGTTCATAATAGCAAGGGTATATATTTAGCCTAGATGTCCATCAACAGATGAATGGACATTGAAAATGTTATATATATATGTGTATATAATATATACAATAGAATTTTATTAAGCTGTAGTAAAAATGAAATTACAAAATTTGCAGAAAGACAGGATCTGAAATTTTATATTTAATGAGGTGACCCTGACTCAGAAAGCCATATTGTATTTATTCTCTCACAGGGGTCCTGGTTTTTAGTGTTTCAAAGTATGCATGTATAAATGCAGCTGTAAATGTGGGTACAGGCCATGAAGCTAGAAGAACACAATGAAGGGGGAAGTGTGGAGGAAAGGTTCTGGAGTTCGAGGGCCTAAGGGGAGACCAAGGACTGAGCGGGGGTAGGGGGGGAGAAGGATGAACTAAAATAATGTTTGTAGATGCTATAATGAAACACAACATGTTGCTGATTAAAATACATAAACATTTTGAAAATTAAAAGAACGAAATATGCTGTGTTTTCAAGGACTGCAAGGTCCTTGGGATAGGAGGCAGAGCCAGCCCAGTTGCTGAGACCACCACTTCAGGTTCTGCAGATCTGTAGCATGCAGAGGACTCCTAACGAATGGCCCATCCACCAAAACACAACCACAGTGGCCAGCCTGCCCCATGCTGAACTTAGGCTTCTTCCCTAAGCTTGTTGAACTCATATTTCCAAAGCATAAAGATTCCCCACTTATTAAAAATGATTCCTTTGAGGACTAGATGGCGTTAGGTCAGTGGTTATAATATATAAAATGACAAAGAATTCTCCTAAATCCCTAGAGTTGACATATATGGCTGTAAGGACAATGTGGTGGTAATCTAATTGTACTGAAATGTGATTTTGATTGTATGTTAATAAATAAAGTTGTCCGGGGGTCAGAGCTATTAGAGCCATAGCAAGAGTGTGGCGGTGGTGGCACACGCCTTTAATCCCATAGATCTCTGTGTGTTCAGGGATATA